ATAGGTCTCCCCAAAACTAATGTTGAGGCAATGCCACCAGCAGTGACAGTCAGCTGAGAGATCGCTGGCAGCTCACTGCTCAGTACTGAGGCATTCAGGAGGGGTTGTATTTTTTGGGGGGGAAGAAGGGAGGAAGGCAGGAAGGGAGGGAAGGAAGAAGGGAGGGAGGAAGGAAGGGATGAAGGGAGGAAGGGGGGAGGGAGGGAAGGAGGGAGGGAGGGAAGGAGGGAAGTGAAGGAAGGAAATCAAGCAATGAGAGAGACATTGCCAACCTGGAAAGAAAAAAAAATGAGTAAAGGAGAGGAAGAAAGAGGAAGGGAAAGAGGGAGGGTGAACAGAAATATTGCTTTATTCTGAAAAAAAAAAAAGGGTATTAATAATGGCCAATCAATGTTTCATTTAAACCTATGAGTAGGTGTGATGCGGTATTGACAAGAATGTATATTTTGTGTATTTGAAGTGGAGAGCTCTATAAATTTTTATTAAGTTTACTTGTTCCGGATCTGAGTTCGAGTCCTTGATATCCTTATTAATTTTCTGTCTCATTGAATCTAAGTCTCTATGTATCTGGGTGTTAGGATCGTTAGCTCTTGTTGTTGTATTGATCCTTTTACCACTATATCTTTGTTGCTTTAAAATCTATTTTATCCGATACAAGAATTGCAACTCCTGCTATTTATTTATTTATTTATTTTTGCTCTCCATTTGGTTGGTAAATCTTTCTCCATCCCTTTGTTTTGAGTCTGTGTATCCTTGCATGTGAAACAGGTCTGGATGTAACATGCCGTTGGGTTTTGGCTGTATCTTTTGATTGGGGGATTTAGTCGATTTAAATTTAGGGTTACTGCCATTTGAAGTTAACTGGCTGTTTTATCCTTTCGTTGATGTAAATTCTTCTTTATGTTGGTGCTCTTTACTTTTTGGTATATTTTTAGAAAGGCTAATACTGGTTGTTTCTTTCTGTGTGTAATGCTTCTTTCAGAAGCTCTTGTAAAGCAGGCCTGGTGGTAATAAAATCTCTGAGTTCTTGCTTGTTCATAAAAGATTTTATTTTTCCTTCAGTTGTGAAGCTTAGTTTGGCTGGATATGGAATTCTGGGCTGAAGGTTCTTTTCTTTGAGGATGTTGAATATTGGCCCCCACTCTCTTCTGGCTTGTAGAGTTTCTGCTGAGAGATCTGCTGTTAAGTCTGATGGGCTTGCCTTTGTGGGTAACCTGACCTTTCTCTCTGGCTGCCCTTAGTATTTTCTCCTTCGTTTCAACCGTGGTGAATCTAATGATTATGTGCCTTGGGGTTGCTCTTCTTGAGGAATATCTTTGTGGTGTTCTCTGTATTACCTGGGGTTGAATATTGACCTGCTTTGCTAGTTTAGGAAAATTTTCCTGAATAATATCCTGAAGGGTATTTTCCAGCTTGGATTCATTCTCTCTGTAGCATTCAGGTACACCTATCAAACGTAAATTAGGTCTTTTCACATAGTCCCACATTTCTTGGAGACTTTGCTTTTTATCCTTTTTTCTCTAATCTTTTCTTCACGTTTTATTTCATTAAGTTGGACTTTGACCTCTGATATCCTTTCTTCTGCTTGAACAATTCGAGTGTTTAAACCTGTGCATACTTCTCTGAGTTCCTGTATTGTATTCTTCATTTCCATTAATTCACTTATATTCCTCTCTAAGTTGTCTATTCTCAATAGGATTTCATCAAACCTTTTTTCAACGTTCTTAGTTTCTTTACGTTGGGCTACAACATGTTCTTTTAACTCACAGAAGTTTCTTATCCATTCCTTGAAGCATGATTCTGTCATCAGGAGGCGCTCGTTCTCCATCAAGCCTTGTTCCATTGTTGATGTGGAGCTGTGATCATCTTAAGAGGGAGAGGCGTTCTGACTTTGAGTATTCTCAGCCTTTTTATGCTGGTTTCTTCCCGTCATTGTAAATTTATCCTCCTGTCCTCTTTGAAATTACCAACTTTCAGATTAGGTCTCTTGAGTGGACGTCCAGGTTGTTAGTTCCCAGGGCCAGAACGATTACGTTAAGACTGATGGTGCTTTTCTGCCCAGGATTCTCCTGTCTGGCTTCCTTCTTGTGTCCGTAATGGGCGACTCTGCCTTCCCGGGGCTCCAAACCTTGGTCAGAAGGGGAACCGGTCCCGTTTACTCTGCTCTGAGAGCTGCCGCACCGAGGTGCCGGAGGAACAGCTGCGCCAGCCACAAGCGTCGCGCTGGCGACCCGTGTGGTTCCTCCACTGGGGATCTTCTGCTCCGTGAGTAACCAGAATTTGTCTGAAAGTGTGGCGTCCTCTAGTTCTCTGCGCTTCCAAATCAGCTGCAATCCCAAGATGTTAGCAATCGGCCATCTTGGATCAGGATCAGGAGGGGTTATATTTAACTTTCAAGTTGGAACCAATGGAAACGGTTGGGCTTGAAGAGGTGTCTTTGTTAGTCATCTACAGCAGAAAGCACAGAACTGCTAGAGGAAATAATTCAGAAATGTGGAAAGAGAAAAGGATGCCCTCCTCTCAGGAAAATAATGTTTACATGTAACCGAGTGGGAAGACTCTGTGGAGGAAAGTCTGAAAAAGCAGACAGCTGAAGAGAAATGAGCCAAATGAAGGACATGGTGGCCAACATTCAAAGGAGAAAGACATTTGTGAAGAAGAGGTGTTTCTAGGGTTTCTAAGAAGTCTCTGCACTCAGGCCCAGAGCCACCTTGCAAGTTCATTTGGAAGGTGCTTTGGTGCCTTTTGGTATAAGAGCCATGAACATCAACAGTGGTGTTATGTGAGCAGGTGTTCGTACTGAAAGGCCAGAAGCAAAGTTTCCATGTGTTATAGCTGTTAGAAGTGCCCCCGCTCCACTCCAACACAAAGGCAGCTCTGCCTGCTAGTATGGAAGCCCTGGGAACAGCCTCATCCTTGCCTCATGCTGGCAACACATCTCTGCCTTGGCTTCCCTGCTGGAACACACATCGTCACTCAGTACCAGCCATTTATTCTTCTGGCAGAACTGTGGCAAGAGGGGATTAACAGGGACACATTTTACAAAACAAACAAATAAAAAACCAAAACAACATGAGAGAGGTAGGCGTGTCTTTGAAATAATCGCTGTCTACCTCTCCCAGCCCTTTGCCCGTGTCTGCCTGCGCTTGGCATGCCTGTGCCTGTGGTGAGGGGGATATGTCTGTGCCTCTGAAAATCTTATTTAGACATCACAAGGTATTAGCCCAATTTTGAACACAGCCGGCTGCAGTACTGGTGCACAGACATGACTGCTCTTTCTTCAGAAAACTCTCCAGTTCAAACATGTTTGCAGAGCATGATTCATGGTGTTTCTTTCTGGATTGTCCAGTGGGTAATTGCTGTACGAAAACCAGAGAAACAGATGTAGACCCTGAACCCTGGCTATAAATTTTTGTTTTATGATTATGGGTTTCAAATGTGCTGTGTCACACTGACAAATATACAGTTACTCTCAAACCAAATGGATTTTGCTCTCAAACTTTTGCTTTCTGTTTTTTACTTTTTGTTTGCTTGTTGGTTGGAAATACGTTTATTAGATCATTGATCAAACACAAAGAAAACAGAGATGACACATATCAGAATGTTATTTTATGCCATAACAAGAAGGTATTTGGGAAAGTTTCTCCCTACCCTTTGGCTAATGTTTAAAATGGGTGTCAGTAGTTAACATTTCATTATGGACAAACCGGCCCATTTTTCACTTTCTACCCTACTCATTAATCTTTATAGTACATGGATATGTATTTAAAGAATTGTGGCTTATTTATATCTTTCCTTCACTTAAAATGAAGAATTTGGGGGCAGGATCAAGTTTTCAAGAGTATAAGCATTTACTGATGAAGAAATAATAAGCATGTGGCTAAATCATGGGTCTGTTTTATAAATTAATACTTGGATTAAGTAATAGCTCTAATTATTGCTATCAGCATAATTAATACATGATGAGGGATGATTAATTGACTAGTGAATAATGTCACATTATAAGAAACCCATGCTGTTCCATTCATGGGGATTTAAATACTGATTATTCATTTCAAGGCCCAAGTTCATCTCTCAGTTGAGAACTTCAGGGTAATTATACGTTTTACATTTTCTTGTACAAAGAAAGAAACCATCAAGTCACTCAACCTTTACCACACACACAGAGACACACTATGTTGTTATGTTTGTGCAATGATAAAGTATAAAGATAAGAAATTTGGAAGCAGTCATCTTCCTCAATGAGGCTGATTATATAGCTTAAGAAATGAGAATGGACAGAATTTTGAGGACACCCATCCCTATCTTCACTTCCCTGGGATCAGTGGGTCTCTACTCTTTGGAAAGATGTTGAGCAAGGAAGTGCAGTGGCCCCCTCTGGATGACAGATCCCGTACACATATACCTGTCAGTGATGCCGTGCTTCTCATCTCTAACTTAAGTTTCTCCTGCTGTATTTCAATATAGTTGCTTCCTCTTCTCTTGTCTAGCAACTTTGCATCCACCTCATTGTCTGGTATAAATGAGTTCAGTTTCCAAGGAACTCTAAGGACCTTAAATAAGCATTTGGAGCCATAAGCGTCATGGACCAAGTAGAAATTGGCACATAACGTAGTGCTTTGTGTATCTTTACAACTACCTTAATGACAGTGTGTTAAATGTTTCGTAAATTTCTCTGTGTTCCCTTGCTTAAAATGTGTGTTTTCTTTGTAGTTAAAGGGTTTCTTATAATAAGTCTCTGTTACAAAATGATGGCCATATAAAAGAAGAGAGGAAACAAACAAACACAGATTCAGCAAAATCTCACCCCTTTATTGCCCTCAACTTTTCAATAGCAAGAACTGAGCTTGCTGGGCTGAAAATTGTGTTAATGTACCTTCATAAAAGGATCTTTGACTTGGTAAGTGTGTGCGATGCATACTTTTCATGTTACACCACAAGTGCCACTTAGCAACTCCACTAGATAGGGCAGTGTTTCAGCATGGGGTGGGGTGCCCCCTGAAAGGCTTTTAAAAGGCCTGGATGCCAATGCACATTCCAACACTATCCACAGAAAGGAGACTGGAGCAGTGCTCTTCCCTGTGTTGGGCAAGGAGACTCTCCCTCCCTGCCTATCCTCTTGCCTGCTCTGTTTTGTGGGAGAATTATAACTAAATACTAGAGAGGCAGTGAAGAACAGAGGGTGTTTTAATTCCTCCCCAGAGTTTCCTTTTTTTGATGTATGTTGCATCCTTTAAGCAAGTTGTACAAAATGGCTGCAGGGTGGATTGGCTCTCCCTTTTCAAGCTCTCAGTCCAGCTGGGTTTATTTGTAAATATCGCATCTCCTCTTCTCCGTGTTTTAAGACTGGCTGGAAAGACTCTTCTTCCTTTAGTTTGGGTCAGTGTGAGAGATCTAAAAAATCATTTTCCCTTAAAATGACTGTATTTCAATAAAAGGATTGGGCAGGGGCTGGTATGAAAGAAAATCGGTCCTTCGTGATATAAAACTGTTGTTACCTAAAGCAGTTTACAAAATATGTGCTTAATTATGTGGTGGGGCGTGTGTAGGTGTATGATGAGCAAGGCAACCAACATGGCTATTTGGGGTGCAAGGATGTGGGGAAAGGAAAGTAATTTTCACACTGGACTTTGATCCTCGGGATCTGGGTTCTAGTCATCGCTCTGAGCTATGTGGCCTTGGGTAGGTCTCATCTCCTGGGCTTTTGTTTCCCTACTTGAACAATATGAGGATGAGTCACAGCTAACATTTGTTCCATGACATTTACCCAGCGCCATACAAGTGTTTTTTCTGTCCTCCCAATAACCACTGAGGTGGGTAGTCTTATGTGCCCATTTTACAGATGAGGAAACTGAAGCCCAGAGAAGTTAAATGCTTGTCTGAGCACACCCAGCTGGTAGGTGGCAGCCCTGGAATTGGAATCTAGTTCAGTTTGACTCCCCAGTCCGTGCTCTTGACTACTCTATACTGTTGCCTCAAGTCCAGATCTAAAATCCCATTTTCTGTGTGACTGTGTGTTTGGGACAGGGGCAACTAATTCTCGACTACTCTATATGCTGCATAGAACCTAGAGAGGATTTTTCAAAGTGGATGAATCCCAAAAGCTGGATTGCCGAGCAAACGAATGCAGTCACTTCAGCCAGGGCTTGCAAGGGGGAAAGAGAAAAAGACTGTGGAATGGAAAGTTTCCCAACCCAAGCCTTCCCCAAGGGGTTGCCATTCTCTGTTCTACAGTTTAGGGCTTGCATGTGCTTTCTCTGGAGTGAGTGGAAAAATACATAAATTATAAGGAATTTAACAGACAGAAAGGCGCACAGAGGAATTTAAAGGGTGGGCTGGGGGTGAGGCGGTGGGCGGGGGTAGGGGAAACACTGTTTTCCGAGCTAAGCCGCCGCAGATAAAAAGGCGTAAAGGGAGAGAAGTTGGCGCTCAACGAGAGCCAGGAGCAGCGTCCCGGCTCCGCCCCTGCTCGTTTTAAAAGCACTTCTTGTATTGTTTTTAAGGTGAGAAATGGGAAAGAAAGCGCCGGCTTGTGCGCTCGCTGCCTGCCTCTCTGGCTGTCTGCTTTTGCAGGGCTGCTGGGAGTTTTTAAGCTCTGTGAGAATCCTGGGAGTTGGTGATGTCAGACTAGTTGGGTCATTTGAAGGTTAGCAGCCCGGGTAGGGTTCACTGAAAGTTCACTCGCATATATTAGGCAATTCAATCTTTCATTCTGTGTGACAGAAGTAGTAGGAAGTGAGCTGTTCAGAGGCAGGAGGGTCTATTCTTTGCCAAAGGGGGGACCAGAATTCCCCCATGCGAGCTGTTTGAGGACTGGGATGCCGAGAACGCGAGCGATCCGGGCAAGGTTTGTCTGGGCACCGTCGGGGTAGGATCCGGATCGCATTCGGAAGGCTTTTTGCAAGCTTTCGCTTGGAAGGAGAACTTGGGATCTTTCTGGGAACCCCCCGCCCCGGCTGGATTGGCCGAGCAAGCCTGGAAAATGGTAAATGATCATTTGGATCAATTACAGGCTTTTAGCTGGCTTGTCTGTCATAATTCATGATTCGGGGCTGGGAAAAAGACCAACAGCCTACGTGCCAAAAAGGGGGCAGAGTTTGATGGAGTTGGGTGGACTTTTCTATGCCATTTGCCTCCACACCTAGAGGATAAGCACTTTTGCAGACATTCGGTGCAGGGGAGATCATGTTTGACTGTATGGATGTTCTGTCAGTGAGTCCTGGGCAAATCCTGGATTTCTACACCGCGAGTCCGTCTTCCTGCATGCTCCAGGAGAAAGCTCTCAAAGCATGCTTCAGTGGATTGACCCAAACCGAATGGCAGCATCGGCACACTGCTCAATGTAGGTTTATTTTTTTCCCTTCTTCTACCAAGAAAAAAAAAAATTAACTGTCTCTCTTGCATGCAATGAAGACGTTGGAAATAAACTGCATTGGTAGCAAGACAAAGGATTTAATGATTTAATGCTGAAGGGGTGTGATATGCTGGCATGCATATTGATTCCCTCTGCTGAAAATTTCCTGTTAGATGTTTTCTTCCCAAATAACCCCTCCCGCCCTCATGCTCCTCTCCTTACCAACCTTATAGTCTCTTGAAAACAGTTTTTAAAATATGCATAAAAGTGAGGGGGGTGGGGAGTAGTGGGGTGACCACAAGACTTTAAAACATTCTTCAAGTAGTGCACTTGGACACATTTTGCCGGTTTTACTAAAGACCTGTGCAGGGTGGAATTTAACTTTGCTGTTCTTTGGATTAACTACTAGTTGTATAGATTTCCGCCCCCCACCCCCCACCCCTTGTGTATTCCAACAGTCCAAAGTAATTAAAATATGACATTTTCCTTGAAAGGAATTTAGTTTAATTAAGGTGGCTGCTGCTCCCGAAGTTCATAAACCACCAGTTCAAGCTGCTGCTTCCAATGTTTTCCTTGCTAAGGAAAGGCAATATTTCTTAGCATTGACCCTGCTGCCACCTTTCCGAGTCACTTTGTTGGTCTAAGAAGTTGCTGTTTTGCTAGAAAACTCCTGGCAATGAACACCCCTTGGGCTGAGCCATTCATTATTCCCATATCTTGCAATTGAGCCTGGAACATGGACATCAGTTAAAGGAAAGGAAATATAAGTGGGGTAGCCCAGTTTTGTAAAAAAATATTGACTATTTTGTTATCTGATGCTGACACAGTGCCGAGGTACGCATCTGGTCAACAGTAGCCTGGCTGCAAGCTTGAGAAATGGCCAGAAGTCCCAGAAAATCCCACCTTCGGGTGGCTGTAGTGAGAGCCTGCAGGATGCTTCACCGCCCTGACAGTGATTTAGATAAATGGCTCAGCTATCTATCAAAATGTTTTTAGTACTTTATTTGACAATTCATTGGAGCATTAGCCTGAAAATGACATTTTAAATCTTTGTTTTCAAAGAGGTCAAAGTTTAACTGGAAGAAATTGAGTTTTCCTAATAACATGGTAGCTTAGCTAAAGAGAGAAGAAAAAGGAGAGAGGGGACAATGACAGACTTAAATTGCCCTCTCTGAAACTTTTTCCTAAGGATAAAGACTTGCTTCTTGGGCCAGGAAATCAACAGGTTTGTAGCTGAAAATCAATAACCATTTGATGCCAACGGCCTGACTGTCTGACTTAACATTTTGTAGAGCCGTAAGCAGGGCAAAAAGAATATCGTTTTCAGAAGGCGACTTAATCTTCAGCTGCTCCCCAAATGCCTTTTCTTTTTTGGTGCCTGTAATCTTTCTGGAGAACTCAAAGAAACTTGAGTGTTACAAAATAATTTTCTAATCCAAGAGGAGACCTTTCAGACCTGTCCTCTTTGTAGCAATTAAAACAGTATGAACAATTTCTGTTGGAATCCCAGGGACTGGGGCTCTCTGAAACTTTTTTTTTTGTTAGAGAAAGTTGTAATGAAACACATTTTTTAACAGAAGGGAAAAAAAAGCTCAGGATCCTTGCCAAAAGTTATTAGACCTAATAGAGTTTTTACATGTAGACAGTCTTCCTTTTGTAATTAACCCTCCAAACATGCCTGTTGTAAGAGGAGGGGGAAAAGCTTTGTTTGTTCTTGGATAAGTTAAGGGATTTGCTTTATCTAGGGAGAGCTAGCGGTGAATGTGTCATTCGCCTAAAACTAGCCGATAAGCAAGAAGTGTTGATAACAGCGAAGTTTAGCTAATGAAAGAAACTTGCATTAGACAAAGTAAATAAAGGCGTTTGACAAAGGGATTTCAGAAATTCCAGTGTCTTATTTTTGTAAGCAGGGCAATTAGTTCTTATTGTGGTCAATTTCACAAGAGTTTGAATCCCACACCCCCAACTTTAGGTTAAATGAATAAAATGTAAATATTGCTTGTGCCCTTGCAGAGTTGATTTATCCTCCATAAACCACTTTGTGATGGTCAGTTCCAGCGATTAAGGTTTTTGTTTTTGTTTTTTTAACATAAATAAAACTAAAATTTTTTGTTAAAAAAAGATTCTAACAAATGTCTTTGCCACGCAGTGTTGGTTCAGGGTGGTATGTATAGCTTAGGGTTTTTGAAATAAAAGCGTACTAGGGTTACGTTTGTGTAAGTAAGAACATAAAAACCACAACCTTTTCCATTTTATTTAATGGCTGTTTTGACGAGAAGCAGATCTGTTTGTGCTTTTAACACAGAGGAAACAGTGGGCAAAGAGAAAAAGTATTAAATTCCAACCCAAACTATTTTCTGCTTTGAGATTTTTTTTTTTATGGTGTGTGTGTATGCATAGTAAATAATGTAAGACCTTTGAACGTGGAGCACACCACCAGAAGCTCACTTTGAAAGGTGTTAAAATATTCCCTTTATTTTCTTTTTAATTTTAAAGGCAGAAAAATGATATGCCAGCCAGCTGCCATTTGTAGTGGGGCCTGTGAATTGCTTGTTACAAGCATTCGAAGTCAGGATTAGGGGCTACTAAGGGAATGTGGTGTAAGTGTTAGGATTGACGACTGCCCCCGGAAGGTATAGGAGTCACTAAATTTCTGTTTAGATGCCTCCTGGATTATCCTGGTTTTAGGCTGCTCCAGATGTTTTCAACATTAATTGTTCAGTGGGCATAGGATAAATCTTAATATTTTGTGGTCTAAATATAGTTGTTTTGGTGAAATCACAAGTGTGACAACTTCTTGGCCCTTTACCCTGTCTTTTCTCCCTGTTCAACACATCAAAAGGGAAAAGAAAAAAAATATTTCTTTTTGAAATAGGATTTTGCCCATTAATGAGAAGAAATTATTTTAAAAACAAACGGTAGTGATGTTTGATTAGGGAATAAGAAAAGGCCTCTTTTCAAAGCCCTGGGACCTAAATTTTAAGTATTAAACACTATCTAAATCCTCTCCTAGTGAGATATAAATTGGGGTCAAAGTGGCAAAATCAAAGATACCCTCTGAAAGAAAGACTAAATAAAGACTGACAGCAACCGTATGAATTGAATGGGCTTTTGAATAAATATTTCAGTGAAAAGGCCCAATTGTTTTTCTAAAGTAGGACATAATTTTCTGCTTCTCAGACACATGACCGTGGTAACTAATACCATCAGAAAGAAGAGAAAAGAGGGACTTTTCCTTAAATCGCAAAGAGAGTGCAGGACTGGGTTGATTGAAAACAAGTGAAAGATTCATAAAGTTTTCCTTCCTTGTAGAAAAAAAGCAATCATCTTGTGAATATGCAGATAAATTGGTACATTTGACAAGGGAGTCAGTACTGATGTGCAACTCAGGAAAGAAAAAGCATGAGTTTCAATTGTGTTGCCAGAAAAAGATGGATTCAAAAAACAAAACAGTAGGAGAGGTAGACATCTGTTTGCCTAAACTTAAGCTATGGAATTAATTTGGAAGCTCTAGTTAGAATTTGATTTGCCAGCCATAATGTAAAGCCCTTGCGTTCGTTCAATCAGGTCTTTTTTCCTTAATAGATAAATGACCAGAATGGCTATTTCTGATAGGCTAGTTGACCTGAATCAGAAGTTTCCTTCTCATTTCTTGAAGACTTATGCTGATGTATACAACCCGACAGTATTGTCATGCACTTTTCTGTAAAGCATAAGAATAAAAGAAAGTTCTTCTGGGTATCAGATGTTTATCATTTACCTTCAACATATGGTTAAGCCCTGAGGTAGGTGAAGAAGAAAATCTGTTTTCTCCTTTACACATTCCACAAATATCACTGAACTCCATCTAAGAAGGGAAATGCATGATAAATAACCAAGATTATAAATTCTGCTCTCAAGGAATTTATAATTTTTAAATCAATAATTTAGAAAAAGCTGAGAATTTTTAAATTAGAAAGTGACTCCTTGGGAGGAAGATGGAGAGGTAAAAATCAAGATGCAAAATGTAAAACTCTTTTCAAGTTGCTCAGGACTTTAACAATAAATGCAGTGTTCATTTTAGAACATCTTAGAATCTTCTATAGAGTTTGAGTTATGTGTAAATGCCATAAATTTATCCTTAAATGACATTTTTATATTTTATATGTT